CGGCTCTGAGCCGTACCATTTCACTTGGCTGCAGTCCAGTTTAGTACATGCATGTTGTATGGTACCAGCAACGTCACTGGGTACTGATTAATTCTAAATGAGTCAACCCAATCGAACCCCTTAACGTTGAGTGTCAAGTGGGGAGGCATTAGGTCCCTTTTTGTTTTAAAGTCTTTGGTATGACCAGACCATGGATTTGAACCTGCAATCTCCGAGTCTCAGGGCGGACACTCATACCACTAGGCCACTGAGCTGCTAATGACTGATGATAATAACTTAAAGTTTTAATTTTAAATAAGATGCACTAAAATGCCAAAATAATGACTAAAAAGGTCTACAGCTATTAAAAATGTCTATTAGACATTCATTAATACAGTTGGGGTGACTGGCTTTTTAGCACAAATTTAAAACGGCACTTTTCCAGCTTTTGTTTAGTATATGTAGGTGTCTATAGAAACAAGTCAATTACATACGTTGTCCTGCTTATAGTCATGTGTAACTTAACAGTGTGCAGTATATTACAACATTTGGTATGATAAAGACCAGCTAAAATGACAAAACCCTTTGGCACAAAAGTAACTGTGACATAAGATTGTTGACGAGATGTCGATTGGGAGACCAAGAGTGGAAAAAAAATCAGGCCTTCAGGAGGATATTAATAACGCAGTGGACTTTATACTGCAAGTGACAGTTTGTTAGCTTATGGAGGGACTTGAGCATGCACAAAACTTCCTTTGCAAGAATAGAGTGGTTACTATTGAGGTAGCAGCATGCTAGGTCCTGGGTGGAGTAGCATTTCTATGAGTCGAGGCCTGTGCAGACTGACGTGGCATGGTCAAGAAGAAAATGAAATAGGACTCGCTATGTTGGTTACATACCTTAGCTTCAACCCATCACAATAGTGTGGTGGTTGGTATACACATTCTGCTGCTTAGGCTACTTGGAAAAGCTGCTTCATTGTTGGAAGCGGAATTGGAGGCTCAGAATTAAGTGGTTAAGAGATAGAAGAAAGTTTTTGCCACCAGCTCAAGCCGACCCATCACGGTACCTACTTCGGAAAATACCCATCGGGCCTAAATAATTAGACCCTTTAACAGAAGTTGTTACTGACCATAGTGATGGTGCAGGGACTGAGCCAGAGACTCGACTCAAACTTTACAGACACAAACATGCCACCAAAGTGCTTCACAGACACAGGTAAAAACACAACACACAAAATCTACTGTAAATCAATAAAATAATACAAATGAAACCATAAAATAAGAACAAAAAATTAATCGCTACAAAAAGTAGCACTAACAGTCACCCTACAGAGTGGGTCCTCAGCTTAGATTTAAGAACTGCTACAGAAGAGGACTGCTGAACATGCAATGGTAGCTCATTCCAGAGTTTTAGAGCTGCCACTGATAAAGCGTTGCGGGTGATCATCATGTGACAAGGTGGGCTAACCAGTTTAAAGCTGCAAAGGCAAATCTGCAAAACAAGCTAGCTTTTAAACTCACACACTCACCACCCCCGCCGGTCAACAGCCCCAGGCAACGTCCGCCTGATACCAGAACCAGAGTAAACAAGAGAGAACTAAACACCAGTTGTCGTTTTCCAGGTCCAAACATCTTTTGTTGTCCATGACTTCAAAGTGCTTCTCTTTTCGGGACTCTGGTAGTTTGTCCTAAAGTGGAAGTGCCGGCGGTTTCTCCTTCTCTGACATTACTGAGCAGAAAACATCTCATTCCTGTGGGGTTCTGTTGTAAAACGAGTGGAAGACCGAGGTAAATGTGGAAGTGTGGTGGAACAGTGAGACAGACAAATGGATGGTCGTGTTAAGCCTGATTCATGCTTCTCCGTCTGCGTCAGTGTGGAGACACGCAACGTCCTTGCGTGCCTGCCGGAGAGCTCCGCAAGGACGGAGTCGAGCTCTCTTTTCTAAACATCCGTCAGTCGAGATGGACAACGCAAGCTTGTGATTGGTCAGGACGCTGCTGTTGTCTACAGCGCCGCCATTGCGCCCTTAAAAACATAAAGAGAGCCGAGGATAACTAGCGGCAGACACGGAGCAGCTTGAAGAATACCTCGCGAAAAAACTCTAAAAACATGAACGTTTAATTCTCCCGTGACTGGAGGAGTGAAAAGATGCGGAGCAAGCATTTTATTTGTGGATGGAAATGACAGGAAACGTGGGTTTAGAGGTGGCGAGCGCATGAAGATGTGGAGGAGAATGAGAGACAAATTTTTCTGTGTTAAAAAGTCTGTTATATACAAAAAAACCACAATATAAACACACTAGCTTGGACCTGATCCATGACAGGATACCACAGAACAGCGCTACGCCCTCTGTTGTCCTGCCGGGCATTTGCTTTGCAACGCTCTCCAGGAGACGGAGAAGTATGAGAGCAAAACGCTTCCGTCAGTCCGTGCATGTGTGTCCCTTGCGGAGCTGATGGAGAAGCATGAACCAGGCTTTACTGGCTGAGGTTTTTAGTCAAATGCCAGAGAAGCACTTTATTATTGCATTTTAACTGCATTTCAGAGCTATACCAAGGTAGGCATGTCTTAGGCCCTGTCCACGCGTAGCCGGGGATCTGCCAAAACGTAGATATTTTTCTACGTTTTGGCCTGTCATCCACACGAAAACGGATCTTTTTAAAAACTCCGGCCAAAGTGAAGATCTGCGTTTTCTCCGTTTTGGGTGTCTGCGTGTGGACAGACAAAACCGGAGTTTTAAGGTCCGCAACGTCACTTTCCGCAACAAAAAAAAAAGCTGACATCACGTGTGCGACCTGTGTTTACACTAGCCGACAGCATGGATGCCCTCAGAGCTGCGCTCGCTTTATCAATTGTCCAAGCACTTTTTGCTTGTTTGTTTTTGCAAGCAGAATTACTGCTCCCTGCAGAAGACCACAGACGAAGGACGAGGTTAAGAACGGGGGAAGTACTGCCGACTACAGGTCTGGCATGTCCTTAACAATGTATTTATCCAGGTACGTGTGGACAGAGTTTATTTTTAAAAAGGAGGTGGTGTGGATGCAAGTTTTTGGAGGGGCGGATATTCGTTTTTAAAAAACCCGGCTACGTGTGGACTAGGCCTTAATTTGGTATACTTTGATGAATGATTCTTCTCTGCGTACAAGGGGGAGTCCGTGGGATTACAGTCTGGGTGAAAACAATCACTCACAGATTACTTGAATGAGGGAAGCACAGAACTAGAAAGGACTCAGATTTTTCTGTTGACTAAAATTAAGAAATGTCAGTGAAATCAGATAAATGGCTTCTTAATAATGACAACTAAGGTCTGATACTTTAAATTAAATTGAAGAAATTTCCAGCCATTAGTCTGTTTGCACTTAAAACATGTTTAATAAATAATTTTGTGGTTATGTAACAGAAAATGCAGATGGGGTGCTAAATTCTGAGATGTTCATTGACCTGATTTCTCATCTTGACAATCACTTTAAAGCTGCTTTAGCAAATTTACTGAAGAAGCTAGGTTTTGAACGAAAACATGATCACAGGAAACTCACCCTCCCCTCAGGTATCTTTCCTGAGATGCTTCTGCTGAAAACAGACACCAACATTTCAAGAAGAAACACATTTGTGCTTAACACCAGTCAAGGTTTCTAGGACCAAATAACTTTTGCTGTCCGTGACGTCAATTGGTGTTTTTCATTTTGGGACTCTGGTGGTTTGTCTTAAAGTAGAAGTGGTATCAGCCAGCTGTTTCTCCTTCTCTGATATTATTGAGCAGAGAACCTCTCACACCAGTGGTGTTCTGTTGGTAAATACGCAAGTAAACAGTAAAATGGCCTGTATTTGACTTCTAGAGTCCTGAAACTCCCCAAGGCACTTTACAACACATTCAGTCATTCATTCAGACATTCACACCTTGCTGGTGATGAGCAACATTGTAGCCACAGCTGCCCTGGGGCACAATGACAGAGGCAAATCTTTTGTACACAGGCACCATCGGTCCCTCCAAACACCACCAGCAAGCAAGGTAGGGTAAGTGTCTTGCACAAGGACACGGCAGACTGAGCGAGGCTTGAACTTGTAACTTTTTGATTACGAGGCAAGCACTTATCTCCTGTGCCATCGGCACCCACAGTGTGTTATGAATGGAGAAGCCAGGGAAGTATGGAAGTGCAGCGGTTCAGCAAGACAGACAATCGGAGGGTCCAATAGCTACTTTTGGTCTGAAATGTGTTACTGGCGGAGGTTTTAAGACAAATGCAAGACAATCACTTAATACATTTTTTCACACTTTTTTTGTTATTTTCTTTTTTTATCTCTACAATATTTTTATAGCTTTACTATGTTAAAATGTTGTTAAGAAGCACGAAAAATAAAAGTTTGACGCTAATTTGTTTTCCAAATTTGCCATTGCAGCTTTATGTGTTGAGAATAAAATCTGTGTAGTATGTGCTTTTATTCTACCCATTTTAATATTTTAGAAAAAATAACATAGTAAATGTTTTTATTTTAACGGCAATAGACAGTAGATCATAAAACAAGTCTAGGTGGTAAGTGGATTTGGTAGGTTTTGTGTAAACGTGTGTTTTTTTTTCTTCTGGTAGCCAACTGATTAATTAAATTATTTTCAAACCCATAACCTTAGCTTCCTACATTAAAAACAGACCCTGGAAGCAAGCAGAAAACACAGATACATTAGGGCACTCAATTATAAGAACACATGGGTCCCTTGGGCTGAATTCCCCATTCAGGCTCCCCCCTCCCCCTGCACTAACATGCCATCTAACAGCAGAGCTACGGTGCTGCACTTCTCGTTCTCGACACTCACTTAACATACTGCCTGAAGACAAGATATGGCCGGTTCCCATTCAGGTAATGGAATAATGAAATTTGAAGTAGCAAGAAGAAAACACAAGCAGCACAATCTAAAGGATCTATCAGCAACAGAAACAACACACTGGGATGTAGTTTGTTGGTCCAGATGATTAATATGATACAATTATCTATATTTGTGCACTTTGTCCTTGTTTACTTACTTCCCTAGAGCAAAGCACTCCAGCCTGACAGTCACTCCTTTGGCAGCCAGAACAGATGTTGGGAAATGCACTTCAATTTTGGGCTCGTATTCACCCATGACACCTGGAAAGGTTAAGGAAGAGAAATAGAAGACATTAGACCCACAGAAACTTACTGTTTCACCCATTCTCCACACTCGTCTTACTTCTTCTATAACCAACTACAGTAGTGTAAAATTCTGCTTCTTTTCCAACTGTAGCGCTTTAAATGAATATTTATGCAGAAATTGCAAAAAGAAATGTAATTTTCTCAAGCATTCTGTGTTTATAAATTTCTCCTGACAAACACGGTACATTAAATCTTACACAGTACAGGTGTGGAAAGCACATTATGCTCACCATCTGGTATTGAGGGCATAATGTGCTTTTTCTACTCTAATTCTTCATTTTGTTCACTTATAATGGTGCTCTGGATACTAAATTAGATCAACAAACATGCAAATGAACTTTCAACATCTAAAAGCCAAATTAAAAAAATAATATATTATATTTGAACTGACAAATTAGGTTTTGTTGTTTGAAATAGACAATAAAGGTGTGGAATGCTCATTTATTCAATACATTTATAATGGTCCCTAGTGGGAATGAATGCCTTGTAAGTCATACTCGGAGTAAGTCATTCCAGGAACTAGAAGTGAGCTACATCACAGCTGAGCTTTAGACAGCAGGATTTGGAGTCTTATATCTCGCCTCGGATTGGAAAACAGCGTCACGACTCTACCACTGACTTGTGACATAGATGTTTTAACTCCACATATAACACAAGCTCGGAGAAGTTATGCTGTGTGGTGAAGTCGGTAGCGCTAACAGTTAGCTTCTACTAGCCCAGACGTCAAGATTGTCATGACTCCCAATCCTTCACCCTCCTCAGCCTTCATGCAGCACACCTGGTCTCATCATCAAACCCCAGCCAAGCCCTGTTTCCCTGACTACCACAATCAGCTTCATCCACTTCGCCTGCTTCTGACTCCTCAGCTCATCACTCACACCTGTTTCCCCTGCTACAAAAGAACCAGCCATCCAGTCATTCAGTGCCAGATTATTAAAGCTCACCCCAGTAAATTCTCCAGGACTCCTTACCTCTGCCTGAATCATAGATCCTGACCTTGTTCCTGTATCTCTACCTGCCCACGTGCCTGCTCCCTGCCTGGATTGTTCTCTGCTTCTGATCCCCTGATTCTCAACCTTCGGACCATTCTCTGTATTCTGCCTCCTGCCTGCCCCTTGTAGCATTCACAGATCTCTCTGGTTTTGACCCATGCTTCCTCCTGACCCTGCCTCAGCCTCGCCCACCTCTGGTAACTCCATCAAATAAAGACTTTTAAAGGTGCTTTACAGTGTTTGGTGTCATTACAGGTCCTTCTGAGTTCTGCTCATGACAAAGATGGGTGGGTCCATGAATGTTAAGTGACAGTGTGACATAGATCCGTCAGCCCTTCCAAATCCTAGATTTTCCCCATCTATTTTCTATCAGACGCTAATGCAGCAGATAGATGTAGGAGACTATTTTCATGTTCAGCCTGCATGAAAAACTGAGTGACCGATTATAATCAGAAATAAGAGTTTAAAAAGGTTTTTCAGTGTTCCTTAACCCTAACCTTCAAAGGTAAGAACCCACTGGCAGCATAATGCCGTTTGTTTTTGTTTAGTGATAAACGTGCAACAGTGGAAATCTAAAACAAAAGTAGAAAAAGACCGAAAAGAACATTAGAATGACGCACTGACACATTTCATCCATTGAGAACAGGGAATGGGACTCTGTTGTTCTCAAGAATTAGTAATCCGCTCAACCATCCGCAAACACATTGTGAAGGACACGAGTGATAGTGTGTTATCAGTCTCGCTAAGTGCCACCATGCCTAACACCTTCCCTCTAAATCATAGCCAGAGGACATGCTTTCTTTGTTTGCTCATCTGTATGTTAAGTCGGCCATTTATTTCCATTTGCCAGCATGATATGTCAGATGGCATTGAGTAAATTTAGAGTAACAAAGGCAAACACTGTCATCTGGGATCTAATTACTATTATCTGTCTTCCTAAATGGGAGTTTACAACCTGAATATTACATGAGTGTTTTACTGTTTTTGTTGTTTTTTTATTTTTTGGCAAAAAGATTGTTAAACGCACAAAATTGCACCACAAATGGGCACACAGTGATGCCCAGTTTCTGCATGGATACATCTCCAAACATCACATGACACCGTTGGGAGAGCAGCTCCACATGCATTATGAAGTATATGATCAGTAAGACAAATGACTGACATTTGAGAAACCATAAATACACTTTTTACGTGCAGCTGACTACATTTTTTTATGTGACAAAAGGAATTCAGCAGAGGAGTGGAGTTACTGGATTGGGGCCCACTATGTATGGAAAAAGAGTTTTACGATATTTGTTCCAAAGAACTTTTCAATTTCAATCTCATTCTCAACATTTATGGCTCCAAAGCAGCCCTTCACATATAATGAATTTGCAATATGTCACCAGCTCTAGCTATAGTATATTCAATATCATATTCAGTCTCAGTGGCTGGACTTGATAGAAACTTAATAAATAAAGTCG